GTTACAGATAGGGGCTCCAGTATGGTATAAGCGTTAGAGGCAAATATTCGTCTTAATTGTAGCACCCATGTTATTTTCAAATGCTTTGGAAAAATCCTTCTTGGCACTACTGAACTTTCAGGTGTCTTAGAGTTGTAAAGTATTTCAAGAAAGCCAATTTGCACCATTTGCTTCCAACTTCACTAAAAAGCCAGTGCCCGACTAGATGGAACTCACATTACAAAATGCTAAGGTCCATTATTGAAAATTGGGGGTGAAATCAACACTGTATTAAAAAATAATGAGCATATTCAACTGTTGTTGGGTATAAATATAAACACCGCTTCAGCTTTACAAGAACTGTGCGAGAACTTCAAAATTATATTATTTATTATGTTATATATTATATTTATCCAATTTTGCTTTTTTTACGTGTTTATGTTATGTAACGCTATCCATTTTAAAATCAATATTCTTGAAAAAATTGACGAGATATTAGTCACAAATTTAGATACGTGGCATAAAGCTACATTCTTTTTCTACCCACCGGCTATAACATGCAGCTAGATGATTTATTAACTAAAAGATAACTCGTATGCCGCATTTCTTGTAGAAGGTGGATCGTCACACCTTCATTTGCTAAAATCCATTATTGAAAATTGGGGAGAAATCAAGACTGAATTAAAAAATAATGAGCATATTCAACTGTTGTTGGGTATAAATATAAACACCGCTTCAGCTTTACTAGAACTGTGCGAGAACTTCAAAATTATATATATTATTATGTTATATATTATATTTATCCAAATTTTGCTTTTTTTTACGTGTTTATGTTATGTAACGCTATCCATTTTAAAATCAATATTCTTGAAAAAATTGACGAGATATTAGTCACAAATTTAGATACGTGGCATAAAGCTACATTCTTTTTTCTACCCACCGGCTATAAACATGCAGCTAGATGATTTATTAACTAATAGATAACTCGTATGCCGCATTTCTTGTAGAAGGTGGATCGTCACACCTTCATTTGCTAAAATCCATTATTGAAAATTGGGGAGAAATCAAGACTGAATTAAAAAATAATGAGCATATTCAACTGTTGTTGGGTATAAATATAAACACCGCTTCAGCTTTACTAGAACTGTGCGAGAACTTCAAAATTATATTATATTATTATGTTATATATTATATTTATCCAAATTTTGCTTTTTTTACGTGTTTATGTTATGTAACGCTATCCATTTTAAAATCAATATTCTTGAAAAAATTGACGAGATATTAGTCACAAACTTAGATACGTGGCATAAAGCTACATTCTTTTTATACCCACCGGCTATAAACATGCAGCTAGATGATTTATTAACTAATAGATAACTCGTATGCCGCATTTCTTGTAGAAGGTGGATCGTCACACCTTCATTTGCTAAAATCCATTATTGAAAATTGGGGAGAAATCAAGACTGAATTAAAAAATAATGAGCATATTCAACTGTTGTTGGGTATAAATATAAACACCGCTTCAGCTTTACTAGAACTGTGCGAGAACTTCAAAATTATATTATATTATTATGTTATATATTATATTTATCCAAATTTTGCTTTTTTTACGTGTTTATGTTATGTAACGCTATCCATTTTAAAATCAATATTCTTGAAAAAATTGACGAGATATTAGTCACAAATTTAGATACGTGGCATAAAGCTACATTCTTTTTATACCCACCGGCTATAAACATGCAGCTAGATGATTTATTAACTAATAGATAACTCGTATGCCGCATTTCTTGTAGAAGGTGGATCGTCACACCTTCATTTGCTAAAATCCATTATTGAAAATTGGGGAGAACTCAAGACTGAATTAAAAATAATGAGCATATTCAACTGTTGTTGGGTATAAATATAAACACCGCTTCAGCTTTACTAGAACTGTGCGAGAACTTCAAAATTATATTATATTATTATGTTATATATTATATTTATCCAAATTTTGCTTTTTTTACGTGTTTATGTTATGTAACGCTATCCATTTTAAAAAGCAATATTCTTGAAAAAATTGACGAGATATGAGTCGCAAATTTAGATATGTGGCAGAAAGCTACATTCTTTTTATACCCACCGGCTATAAATATGCAGCTAGATGATTTATTAACTAACTAACTATTAAGAGTTCTGCGTTTCTCGCATAATATAGAACTCTTACGCCGCTTTTGTTGTTGAAGATGGATCTTCACACCTTCATTTGCTTCGACCTCGAATTTTCCTTTTGATGAAAGAGCTTGCGAAGAGAATCCTAACAATAACTAGATATTCCAAGCTTTGTCGTTGAATGAAAGCAACGATGCGTTTTTTTCAAATTTGATTAAGCCGTCTATAAAAAATCCAGAAACACCCGAAGAAGAACTTGATAAATAGTGTAAGGAATTAGTAGACATGGATGAAAATTTTAGTTTAATGGAATGGTGGCGAAATAATCAGGTCAAGTACCCTATGTTGTCAAAACTTGCAATCCAAATACTTTCAATCCCAGCTAGTAGTGCCGCGGGCGAACGATCAATTTGATTGGCTGGAAACATTATAATAGGAAAAAGAAATAGACTGCAGCCACGTTCAGTTGATACCTCGCTGTTTTTAAACTTTTACTATAAAAATTACAACCTACCTACAAAATAAATACGTACGTACATATGACATATGCATACATCAAATATTATTAAGAAGTCATACTTTTTCCTAGTCTTACATGAAGAACTGTTAATTTTAGTTTTATTGATTAGGTAATAAGTCTACCATTAAGAAATCATCATTTGTATGTTTTAGTTTAACTATGAAAAACTGATAATTTTAATTTTGTTAATAAAAATTCATAAGTTAACAGATTTTTTAAAATCCGTACATTCAAGTCGAGTACTGCACGATCAATCCCTGCGCAACACAAATACAAATCAAAACATTCTGCTCTGTTCGGAACGACGCGCTCTTAGCTAAGATCGTTCTTTGTACTTGTTCACGAAACTTAAAATGATCGTTTTGATCGGGTATGCGTCATGAACGATCATATTTCGGCTGAGTGAAGTGAGTGAATTGAACGAAAATTTTTGCATGGTGATCCAGGTGATTCGATCATACCGGTTGCAGATCTCTGGTAAGTGCTGCCAACACTTAGCTTAAAAAACCGCACAGATCAGCAAAATATTATTATTAAGGAAACTATATTAGTTTAATGGCCGAGTCAATAATTACGTCATCCTAGGTTGCTCCAAATTTGATACATATTTCCGACAAATTTACAACTGAATCTATTGAACTGTGTTGTGCTATATACACCCTTCAGTTCTGCAGAAGGCTCGGAGTGACCTTGTCAGACGTCAAGAAGCTTTTTTTTTTCTTGTGCCTAAACTCTGTGCCGGGTGTTGACGTCAGCCGAGAAGTCGGTGCAGCGTAGAGGCGTAGAAAACTGTTGACAAAATCGGTGAGGCAACAAAGAGAGGCAAATATTCGGAGAATTCGCTCTCTTTCTTTGTCTTAAATTCTGCTTGCACTCTGCGCTCGCAAAGACAAATTTCGGCCGGTCCGTTATCCTTTTTTTTTTCGTCCCTCCGTTATGTCTAGCTAGTGACTAACATTTCGGAGAATACATTTTCGTAAAACCATAATATGGCTTTATAAAAGTAAATTTTCTGATCATATTAAAATTAAGTTAATTGAATTCACTTATAATGTTATGTTTACGTATTATATATTATTATTACAATATAATTTTTAAGTTTAGTTATAGTAATTTTGTCCGTTAAAATTTATTTATATATTTTAAACATTTTAATATTAAAATTTTTTAATAATTCGTATTGTATTTATTACTCAAGAAGTAAAAATTATATAGTCGGATGTTATTCGCTTTAGAAGGGGTATAGGGGCAGCGGCACGCGCCAACAGCGAAGAGAAAACAAAAGAAATCAAGTAAAGAAGAGACAGGAAGATTTGGTGCATTCTGTTTGAGTGATTGAAAGGGAAGCATCCATTTAAATTGTACGCAGCAGAGTTACTTTAATCGTTTCTTTAAGTTCAAGTAATAAAGTCAGGTATGTGTTACATTAAGTTTAAGATGTTGTGCATTGATCTTAGTTTCAAGTACGTAAATTTTGAAGGTGTTTTATGAGGTCCGTTAGCCGAAAGTGGAAGATGAAATGTTTTGTGCCAATAAAATTCCCGCAAAGGGGTATACACAGCTCTAAAAGGTAAATATACAAATAAACAAGTAAAACGCATTATTTAAGCATATGCTCATACAGCTGCGGTCAAAATAATAGTAGTGCCCACAGAGGCTTTTTAGTAACCCCGAAAAATAACTCTAGAAATGTTTTTACAATTTTTTCTTTAATTTTCATTGAAACTTAACTAATAGTAGCTAATAATAATAAACAAAAACTAAGGATAATTCAAAGGATTTTTCCAAAAAAAATAATAATGTGAATTTTTACAAAAAATTGTTCGGTCAAAATAATAGTAGTGAAAAGTTTCAAAATTTTCACAGCCCAAAAAAAAACGTTTATAGGTTGAATTATGTACTGTATATAATTCATCTATGTTTATATTATATTTTAGTATCTTGTTGCATATCCTTTGTTTGCTATAACAGCTGCACAGCGCTTATGCATGGAATCAACCAAGTTTTGGCATCTCTTTACAGGAATAGAGCTCCAAGTCCTTTGTACAGCTTCCCAAAGTTGGAAGTTATTGCTTGGTTTTATTTCTGAGATTGCTCTTTTTACGTCACACCATAAATTCTCAATAGGATTGAGATCGGGTGACTGTGCGGTCCACTCCATGACATTTACTTGGTTGGCTGCGAACCACTCCCTAGCATGTTTACTTGAATGTTTTGGATCGTTATCCTGCTGGAACGTCCAAATAAGAGGCATGTCCTCGGAGGCATATGGGAGCATCACGTCGTTTAAAATATTGACGTGTACGTAACGGTCCATGATGGTTTTGACCCAATATATTGGCCCAACTCCATAGTGTGAAAAACTTGCCCAAATCATAATTGATGAACCACCATGCTTTACCGTTTTTAGCGTACACTTTGGAGAAAAAGCACTTAAGGGTGGTCGTCTAACAAACTGCCGAGAGCCTCGGCCTCCAAACAAAACTATTTTTGACTCATCCGACCACAAAATATTCCTCCACTTTTCCAAAGGCCAATTCAAGTGCTGCCTTGCGAACTTTAAACGTTTGGCGGCATGTTTTTTTGTGAGTAAGGGCACTTTTCTTGGACTTCTTGAAATGAGGTTATTATCTCTAAGCCGTCTTCTTACCGTTTCCAAACTTACATTTAAGTCACATGTTTTTTTCAGAGATGCAGCAGACGCGAAAGGCTCTATTCTTGCCTGTCTTCTTAAGCGATCCACTGATCTTTTGTCCAATAATTTGGGTCGACCACGCGTTTCATTTGCTATCTCATATTTAACAGCATTTGTAATCATTGTAGAAGAGCAGCCAATAATATTTTGCGTTTCGACATAAGTCTTTCCAGCAGAAATCAATTTTTTTAATCAGATCTCGCCTCTCGGCAGTACAGTGTTTCCCACGGCCCATGTAGCTAGAACTAATTTTAGAGAATAAATTCAAAAATGCTAGGTACTATTAAATAACATCTAAATGTATTGTTAAACAATACAAACCTTGTTAAAAATGGAGTAAATTAAATTATTCTTGATAATTTCTCTGGCACTACTATTATTTTGACTGAGTCAAGCACGCGGGTCATTGCAAATAAAGGCGAAAATAAATACAAAGAGGTATGAGAACCAAAATTAACTGCACATTCTTAGAGAGCAGATAATTACACTTACTTAATAGAAAAAATGAATTAGATTGGCGAAGAAATAGAGAAAATAATGATTAAAAAACTCTCTGAGCGAACGACACTACTATTATTTTGACCGCAACTGTATATATTTTCAGGAGCGTTGGCCTAGGACTCAGTGGACCTGGACAAATGTTTAAGAAAGGCGATGACCAATGCAAAAAACAAATTAACGAAGCATACAACTAGGCTTACTAACAATAGTTGTCCTTCAACAGAAAAGCTAAACAACACAATTTAATTAAAATGAAGTAAATAAAAATGAATGTATTTTATGTTCTATGTTTTCATAAGTTATAACTCATTGCAAATACTTTGAATTTCACAAGTGATTTCACGTGGGACGTGTCACTTGCAGGTAATTTCATAGGTGAAAACTCATTGGAAATATTTTGAATTTCACAAGTGATTTCACGCGGGAAGTGTCACCTGCAGGTGACAGGCCATAGGACAAATGACTATAAGGAACAAGTGAAATCACGAGTGACTTCGAAAAACTTCACTTGTGAAAAAGCGGACATCCCTTACAATTGTCTATGTTTACAATTTTTCTTACACATCTTGAAACTTGTGTCACTAAACGTACACCGTTAGCTAGTCAGAACTATCGAAAGATACCCAAAGGTCTATTGAATGTGGACATGAGTAAAATAGTTTGATATACAAAATAAATATAAATGTAGTTCGAAAAGGACTAAATGGCAGCACTGATGTGGGTGCAGACGGACTTTAGCGTTATAGGCGTTTGTGGGCGTTACAGAGGGACATGGCGAGATCGACTCGGCTAGTGATCCTAATCAAGAATATATATACTTTAAAGGTTTGGAAACGCTTCCTTCTACCTGTTACTTCCCGACGAATCTAATACACTCGTTTACTTTACGGGTATTGGGTACAATAAAACTCATAAAAATAATGGTGGTTCATTGACCAAAATCGAGCTCATTGGTGCTCTAGAGTTTTTGCAAGACTTATAAAAAAAAATCATTTTTTGTCAAGAAAATCTAAAATAATCTGTATATTCGGTCCCTGGTTGTGTACGTCCGGAAATAAGCGACACAAATATTATTTCAGTTTAACTTTGGTTTTGGGAAAAGAATAGTTTCTCTGTTATGACGTCGTAAAAAGTGGCTACAGTGACGTGAAGGAAATGTTCCAAGTGTTAACTCTTAAGATTTTTTTCGACCTGACACCTCCGTCTACTTTGAAAAAGGTAAAAAGGGATATAACAGTTGTGAATTAAAGCATAAGTCGGCAAAATTTGTTCAGAACAACTCAATATATATATAGTGACGTGTCTGCACTGCGATTTCTTAACAGCCACCAGTTCAAAGAACGAAACCGTTCACAAACAAACAGAATCGCCAATTTCGGCTTTGACTAAAAACGATACAGAAGCTTGAGATCCCGCAAAGCAAACAAACAAAGAAAATTTATTAAGTCCGAACGTCAACAATGACGTAATTCCATAAACGTAAAAATCCAATAAGATCTAAAAATCTAATAGGACCGAATTATGTAAACATAAACAAAGAAGTGGCGTTCGCATCATACACTTGCGATTGCGTCACCTAATGCACTAACAGTAAATTCTAAAACGCAAACCGAGGTTTCATTCTAACCAATTCTGTAACAATTGGTCTTTTTCCAACGTTCTAATAAAGAATAACCACCGAATATAAAAAAATCTTCTGATTTTTTATTCGGGGCGCAGAACGACTCATGTAAATATATATATATGAACCGAAACATTTTTCTTCACAAAAATATGATCCATAGAAAACATTGTTAAATTCTTTTTAACTACCAGGAACTACAATCATTGGTCTTGGTGTGTTTTAAAACAAAATTAGTTATAAACAAGTTAAATCTGACAAAGAGCATGTTTTTAAAAATGTTGTTTGCAATATAAAAGCTAATCAAACACTAAGCGATAATTTACGATCTATATCGCAAAAACAAAACACTTTTGTTCATTCTCTTCCTAGAAATTAACATTATTTTACCGTAATGTTATTGCCACAGCAAATTATATTAATTGATGAGCTCGGGAAAAATTGTCTAAACATAAAAACTCGTGAGATCCTGAGATCTTTCAAAATTCGTAAAAGTTTAGTAACTGTGACTAAAAAAATAATTTTGATGATTTTGAGTGGATAAAAATAATTATTACCCTCTACGTTTGAAGCTAAACAATCTACTTTTTTTTAGGAAACTCAATCAGTTTCATTTAAGCTTTTTTGCAGAAAGTCCTTGCAGAGAAGCTAGCTCCTAAAGCACAAATGTAGCGGAACTCTTCTGTCGTCTGAAATACAAATAGAGGACGTTAGAGAAGTAACACACTAGTGCTTTTTTAAAGCTTCCTCGAAATCAGTGTGGTTCTCTTAAAAGCTCAAAAATCAACTTAACTTTTCTACCACTCTGGAAAGCATTCGTTGTGCTGCCAACGAGTAAAGTGCCGTTAGTCAGTCCAGCTTCTTACGGTTCTCTTTGGAAGAGCTCATATTTAGTGTCCGGCTGCTCTCTGCTCTCTCTTTTCGGAGAGCAGTCTTGCATCTCCCTTTTCTACTTTTCTACGACACTTACGCTGAGGCTATCTCCCTTTTTTACTGACACTTACGGTGGCTTACGTTTTGCTGACACTTACGGGCCAGCAGCCAGAGCAAAAGGTTCTGGGCAAACTTAAGCTGAGAAATTGTGTCGAGCATTCAAGCGATTTATCCGGTTTTAGATGAAAAGCATTGAACATTTAAATCACGGTTATCTACTGATTTTACAAAACCACGATTAATAATCATCCTCAAAAGTTAATTGACCAGCAAAATCGCATTAATTGCTAAAACGCATAGCAAAAATTTAACAGTGTGGTGAATAAATAAAGCGTTTAAGAGCAATAAATGCTTTTAATTAAAAACATAAAATGGTTATCAGGCTTAGTAAAATGAAGCCAAGCTTTGGTGTCAACAACACTTTAATTGAAACACATAATAACATAATATAACAATATTCTTTTAGAAACAGTGATGGCTTAAGATTTATTACTATCAATTTAAGTGTAGACCAAAAAACCTATTTATTTGCCAAGGATAAAAATAAAAATATTGAGCGAAAATCGGATACTGATACTACTACCAAGGGATTTTAAAATCGCGCTATACCACCAACTGTGAATAATAAAAACATATTTTTACGGGCATAAATCAATCTTAAAAGGTAATTAGTTATTCTTAAAAAATCAATTTATTAAAATGCAGTGAAAATCAGACAATTGATTTTTTTACTAATATATCGGTCAGGGTATTCGGATACTGGTACAACCAATAGATTTAAAATTCGTAGTAATCAACCAACTGTAAATGGCAGTAAACCGATATAATACACATGGTCAAGTATTAAATTGGATTTGGATAATAACCAATCTTAATAGGTACTAAGTTATTCTTTATGTAGTTAAATCAGCAATACAATTTGCTCAAGACTTTCTTTCTCATTAAAAGCGAAAGAATGTCTAATTAAATTAAAGACACATTAAAATAAAAAAAATAAAAATCACGTTAGCATTTTTAAAAAGCTTTTAACCAGAAAAATATTTTAGCGGAAGGGTGTTTCTGCGCAGTGGTGCTTGCACTTATTGTTTCCAAGAGCACAGCGTTCACACTGAAAGACGGCGAACAGCCAGACAGAAGGAAAGGTCTATATGCCAAACAGTGACGCCACGAGAATATCCACAAATTTGGACGTTTTAAGAACTTATAACATCTTCCTCGCATACAGTTCTTTGACTATTTCAATTTTTTAAGCAACACTTTTGGGAGATGAATTCGCCTTTAAATCGAATTTTTTTTTTAATTGCCAGGTCTTGTCAAGAAGGTCTTAAGCTGGAACTTGGCCATTTCTTTAAAAAAAGCATAGCAATATGGCTTTCCACGACAAGATCATTAGAGAGAAAATTTGAAAGTGTATTTATTTAGTAGATCGCTTAAAGCGTTGTCGTTACAAGAAACGAGGTCAGAACTTTTGTATGTTGAAGGGGCGCGTCTCTAATTAAATTCGTTATTCGTAGAGTAAAAGGGTATAATACATTCGTCTGAAAGTGTGTAACAAGAAAAGGGAAGCGTTTCCGACAACGTAAAGTATATATATTTATTTAATACCCATCTACATGCCAAAAATTATTGAAATCGGACCATTCATTAAAAAGTTATAACCAAGTAACAGTCAATACTTTTCTTATTCAATTGATATTTGTTATCCACTGTTATGCAGAAAATCAGCTGTTTTCACTAATACACCGCAAAGCCGCTATGGCTAGGTAGCGCTCTCCGATTCCTGAGATTCATGCGCAGCGCAAGCCGCCCACAAACTTCAAAAAATCGTAAATATGATTGCTGATATCTCGGAAACTATTAAAGATAGAGAATTGGATTTTAGATTTAGATTCCGTAGCCTTGTACGCAGCCACGCCTACTCTTACCGCCTATGCCTATGGCGCCCACAAATTTCATGGTAGAATACAAATTTAACTGAAATGTATTGGTCTCGTCAATACCTATCGATTGACCCAAAAAAAGTTTGCCTCCAACGCCTTTAACGTTTAAATCTGTCTGTTGCCCACATAACCCTATATTGAGATCGCGGGTAGGTGGCGCATTACAATCTCGTTTGGCTGATACTCGATAGTCTAGATACTCGACAATATCGTTCTTCCTTCTTCAAAAATGTGTTAGGGCACTTTCTTTGCTTTTGTCCATACCTACATAAACTTGGAAGTGCAATCGGTGTAAGAGATATTGCAAATATAAATAAAATTTGTGTTCTAAGTTTAAGTCGATATAATAAGAGCCAAACGCGATCTAAGCCAGAGAAACCTAAATGGGCTTCGGCTTCTTTTCTGTGCTTTCCGCACGTGAAGTTATTGTGGTTACATTTCAAAACCCAACACAAACATTTTTCACAGAATAATTTGGTGTTATTTTAATTCAAAACTGTCTTCTTTCGTTCTAAAATTTATAATCTTCTGCAAACCTGAGGAGTTATTTGCTCTGAACTAAGTTCTAGGTTTTGACGCTCTATAACTTATAATCGCGAATTTTCTCGATAATGTGTAATACGTCGAAAGATGAGGAATCTCAAGTGTTTGCAAGTTCTGAGAGTGTTTTACAAATCGACTATCTAGTTTTTGAAAAAATACCGAAAAACCTGAACCTAAAATTTAACTTAGCTATAATTTTGCAGGGATTTAAGTAGGAACAATTATGACATACAACTATCTAATGACATATAAATTTGAATTTTAGCCAATTCTATCTTTTATCCCGCTAAACTAGCGATTTTTTCAAAAACTTGTAGAACAAATGTTTTTGAGCTCAATCGCATCAAATAATAACACATCTTAACGAGGTAAAAATCTAGTAACGATCGCACCTTCAACAAACAAAAGTTCTGCAATCAATTTTTGTGACGAAAATCTATAATACGATCTACGAAATAAATACACTTTCTAAATTTTTTTGATTCGATAAGCTTTATCAAAATCAGCTAAACACAGGCATATTGAATTGGAGCGTGCCGATATATACCAGTTACTCAGCACTCAAAAAGGAGGCGATAGAGATATATAAGTAGCAAAGCGCCTGTTCCCAAGAACTATTTTTGGCACTTAGTTGAATACTGATAACCAACACAAAATCTCAAAAATGTGGGTGCTAAAAGTGTCTTAGCGTTATGGGCGTTAGAGAGCGCGTGACACCCTATTTCCTCTGCGCAAGAACCTCAAGAGTTTACAAGCCAAATACTAACTTTCTAGCTCTAATAGTTTCCGAGATCTCAGCGTTCAACCGGACGGACAGACAGTCGGACAAACGGACATGGCTAGATCGACTCGGCTAGTGATCCTGATCAAGAATATATATACTCGTACTTTATGGGGTCGGAAACGATTCCTTCTACCTGTTACATACCTTCAGACGAATAAGATCCCGTCTGGTTCCGACTTATATACTACCTGAAAAGAAGACTTTTGGGAAACTTTTAGCCCGATAGCTTTAAAACTGAGAGACTAGTTTGCGTAGAAACGGACGGACAGACGGACATGGCTAGATCGACTCGTCTAGTGATGCTGATCAAGAATATATAAAGTATATATATATATGGGGTCGGAAACGTCTCTTTCACTGCGTTGCAAACTTCTGACTGAAATTATAATACCCTCTGCAAGAGTATAAATATGGGTGCTAAATGGTTTTAGCGATATGGGCGTTTGTGGGCGTTCGAGTGGACGTGGCACCCTGGGGAAACAAACTTCTAGCTTTTATAGTTTCCGACATCTCAGCGTTCATACGGACGGACAGGCAGGCGGCCAGTCGGGCTGGTTGGACATGGCTACTTCGACTCGGCTAATGATCCTGACATTTCCTTGTACCCTTTTACTCTACGAGTAATGGGAAAAAATAAACTGTAATGCACCCTTATTGTCCAGAAATATGGGTTTTTTCGAGAACATGTGTATAAGCAATAGGTTTGCATTTTGGGGCTGTATCAACCTGTTCTCATATGCGTCGTTCTTTTACAATTTAAACGGAATTCACCAAAAATAATTTTTCACATTTTTGATTTGCCTGAAACTTTTTTTACGTATACTATTTGGCAAACAAGCAATAAACTGTATCAGGATTTAACTAACAAATAAATGTTTTGTAGTTTGAGTTTTGTTATAGTTTAAGAAACATAAAATATTAAAAAGTAACCTCTGTTTAACAACTATTTCTCCATCTGTAGCAATTGACTTATTTTCTTTTATATTTATTTCTCTAAAACCATTTTTTTCCAAAATTTTTAAAATTCAATTATTAAATAACATTAAAAAAACCTTTAATAATGTGGGCGCAAGAAAGGTTTTAGCGTTATGGACGTTTATGGGCGTTAAAGTTGGCGTTAAAGTGGACGTGCACTCCAATAAAACAAATTTGCTCTGCGCAGGAATGCCAAGAATGCTTAACCCAACATTCTAGCTTTTATAGGTTTTATCTCAGCGTTCGTACGGACAGACGGATATGGCTATATCGACTGGGATTGTGATCCTGATCAAGAATATGTATATAATAAATCTTTAGCGGGATCGACTTGTCGAGTGATGCTGCTCAAAAATACAAATAGGGTCGAAAACGTATTATTCACTGCGTTACAATCTTCTGACTGAAATCACTGTCTGCAAGGAAATAATAATTTGAATGTCTAACCGTTACCCTATTGGGTTTTAGTCCTTACTGTAATAATTATGTAGTTGTAGCAAACGACTAGAAAGATGTTTTGTCGATGTAACAATATGTTGGAACTCAGAAGGGTATTACAATGATGACTAGTCTAACAAACTATTCGACTTGTGTTTGTATTATAGCGAGTGCAAAGCGCAATATATTTAAAATCACACAGTGTCTTAAAGATGGACAGCAACCAACTACTAGCGAAGGTAAATATTAAACTGTAATACAGCACAGACAAGAACCCAAACATTTTGGGACTCGAAACAGTTATACAAAACGAACAAAGGCACAGCTGAATCGAACAATTTTCATATCCATCAGTCTAAAGCATGGACTGCAACCAAGAAATGTAATAACTTCAAATAAACTGTACTACAGGACCAACAAAAACCAAGGGATACGGTCTGTCATTCGAATTATAAACAACAAACCCTGCAAAGCTAATGTCGGCTTCATACAAAAGCGAATAAAAAATACTTTTTTTTTTGAGGAAGAGATCATAGCAGGCACAAAATCCTAATAAAACTTGTAAACAGAACAAGAGAACACGCACCTACCCTATAGCGCCACCTAGCCTAAAGCTATCCTTAAGCTCGGGTATCGGTTGGAGATTAGATCCTAATCCCCACACTTAGGCCACATTAGGCCCCTTGTGATACCACATGATCTCTGGTTAGATCCTTTTTCCTGGGAAAACCCAGATAAAACGCAATCAGATCAATATATATATATGTAGAAGGAACTTCAGTTACATAACTTCAAAATTGACTTTAGTCTTTTCAATTCATTAGATACGTTAAATATAGTTCTTAAAGTATTAAAACATTAAATAAATCAAATTTGAAATGTAAAATAGTTTTCATTGTCTCTCCATTGTTGTGGTTTAGTTTAGTCATCTTTGTGTAGACCCATTTTTCATTTTAATTCCATAATTCATAAATAATGGTTTCG